GATGGATGATGGGAAAGCCTTGGGAAACGTGAAAGAAAACTTGCAAGTCAAGTAACGTAACTTGCAAAACAAGTTTCGTTACAAAGACCGAATGGTTACTTGCAAACTTGTAAAAATAAACTATTTAGACTACGTAGCTTAGAGACAAGAAAGCGTAATGTAACTTGGAACTAGAAACGAGATGAAGATGAGTACTTAAATTAAACTTTGAGAATACGATCATAACTTACAAAAATCGGTTCTCGAAACATCAAACAACAAGAAACAAAAACTTAGAATCGAAGGTGATGTTCCTGAGAGTAGCCAACACAAGATTATCACAAAGTCTAGAAAAGTACATAAGATGGTTAAGTGACTAAATGGTTTTTGTTGGTGAAAAAAGTAGTAAGTAAGTAAGTAAGTAAGTGTTTTTACAAAAGCCTAAAACTCCTTTATATAGGCCAAGAGAAGCTTCATGGTGGATGCCAACTAATAAGACAAAAGTTCCTTCCAAGCTGGGCTTTGACTAAGCCCAAGGTTGTTGACCAAGCCTTCTCTTTGGATTAGCCCATCTTTCCTCGGCCCAAAAGATTTCCAGCATTCGGAAAGGTCCTATAGAACCTTGCCACTCCTGGTCCTATAGGACTGTCGCAGGACCGGGCCCAAAAATGCACAAAAACCTGCAAAAACCTGCAAAAACCGGGAATTAATATTAGATATACTATATTACTACTAATATATGAAAAAGGCATAAAAAGACTCAATTAGGACACTAATGGGCAAATAAAACGAAGGAAAATGGTTAAGAAAATGATGTAATAAGGTTAATAATTTAACACTTATCAATAGACCTCATTAGAAAGAACCATGGCTATTATAGACCTCGCACGAGTGTCTAAAGCCACATTCTTATTGTCTTCCTCACTCCATTGATGAGGGAGCTTTGAAATCTGTCGTTAAGGAATCGCGACAGTCGTAGCAGTTGTAGGAACTGCTGAAGAGATAGCGGATGGAACATCAGGTCCATTCTCTATATAGTATGGAATCTCATGATCCGCACCTTCCAAGAAGAGAGACATCTGGTTTTTCCAGAGATTGAATTTGTCTCTAATGAAACGGGGAAGTTTAGCAAGAGAGTCATTATCGCGGAAGTTGGTGCTAGTGTTTTGCAAAGCCATTTTGAAAGGAATAATTATATAGATAAGAAAAGATAATAATAGACCAATAAAACAACAATACTATACAAAAGGCAAACACTGCTCTGATACCACTTGTTGGTCCCAGCCGGATCTACAGAAGTTTATAGGTAACAGTTTGTAGAGGGGTTGAATACAAACACAATAACTTTCACTTTTAAAAATTATATATTGATAAAGATCAATACAAATTTTACAAATTGTTTGCGAAAGAGATAGGATTCAGAACATATTCAAACAATCTAAGATACACACAAAATACAGATAGCAATAAGAAAGATTTGCTACAAGAAATAAGGTAAGAAGAAATGTGTTCTTCACTTGTTAAGTGGGTCTTTCTCTTTAGATAACGAATAGATAGAGAAGTAACTTCTTGGATAAGTTCTTAGTGAGAAAGATGTTAATTGAAAGGAGAGTCACTCAACTATTTATAACCATTGCATTAAATGCAATTCAGAAGCTAACAGGGCACATGGCAAGCTTTTAGATGAAAGTTTGTCCTTTTGCTACAATATACAGCCTTTTTGGTTGTATATGAGCAGTCATCTTACATAAAGTAGGTAAGCACGTTTAAAGTCAAAGGAGTGGCTCTATATTGTACTATACTTAGAAAGGTATGGGTTTGTCCTTTGTGTGTAAAGGACAAGACAAAAACAATCTTGCTCGACAAGATTCATTTGGTCGCTGAACACTGGAATGATGTTGAAAGGTCTCATCAGTGTTCGTTGAATCTTGCGTAGACTTCACACATTTGTAGACGAGCTTGTTATCACTAAACACCGGTTCAGATCACGAACTTGTTGTTCTCTAATCTTCAGTTTCTGTCTTCGACATCACTAAAGAATATGTGGTATGAGTTTTGTCTTCTTGAAATATATTGGTCTCTGAATAAATTACAATACATGTTCAACGATCACTGAACAGACTCAGTGAAGATTTTGGAACTGAATAACATAAATAATACACTCCGATAGAGAAAATGATCATCATCAAATCATTGAGAGATAAGATCAACAATCATTCCAAACACTAAAGTCTATTGGGTTTTTTTAGACTTTTCTCTATTAATTATTACTCTTCAATGATATATGGGTTGTGTAAAACTTATCAATGAAGTGGTAGACATTTTAACGTTATAAAATAATTTCAAAACTGAATGAATCCTAACAAAATATAAAGAAATTTGGCACTATGATCCTTGATTCAATCATTGTTCTTACACAATGTGGATTTGTTAAACCATGATGATTTACATCCTTTTACAAGTATTGTAATTACATAATGCAAATGATAGACTACAATTGTAACTGTTTAGAACTTTTTGCATAAAGGAAGTCAACATGGTTTCCATAGGAAAACAGATGGACATGATGCAAACAGTTGTGTAACAACACAGGTTTTGTATTTTCATATTTTGCAAAAACACAAAGGTAGAAAGATTAGGTTTTTTTTTAAGGGGCACTATATGTGTCATATAATCAAAATGCATATCATCTCATTTAAACCACATAATCAAAAATAAAATAATGGAGGTTTAAAAATATAATGCCCTCGTGAAAATAATTTAAAAATACATTACAATAATAAGAAATTTAAAAAAAACAAATTGTTATTTTATATATTTAGCAGGGGATTCAAGTTTGTCTCTAGCAGAATTCGAACTTGAACCTGTTGTATTTGAGCAAAATCACTCAACCCTTTTGCCAAATGAGCTACACACTTGAAGGCTTTTCATTTTTCATTTATGATAAAAGCTTTCACACTTTTTAATCACCCGGTGCATTACACGGGCACATTGCTAGTTCTCAATTAACACAGTTTAGTCTTTCATCATATTGCTTATGAAGACCGAATGTCTATTTCAAGTTACAACTAGAAATATCATCTCATTCATATCAATAAAACTAAATATTATGCATATAGATCCATTTTATAACAGTTTAATACATTATAAGCTTTTAAATATGCCAAATCATATCCAAACACATAGCTATCAAGTGGGTAAAATCTTTCATTTTATCAACAAACCCAAATGGTACGACCATTTCTGAATTTTGGTTTTAAAACCCGCCATAATTTTGAAGTAACCATCTTCATAACAATAACATGATTCCCAACACTTATTTTATCAACAAGCACAAAGTTCCCAAAACCCCCCAATTGTTTTTGGACTTAAATGGTCCAAAATCAACAAGGTATGAAGTACATGAAACAAGAGCTTTAAAAGCTGAAATATAACATTTTAACATGTATATAGTTTTAGAAAAGTGTAGGATGAGCTCACAGTATTAGGTTTTAAAGAGAACCCTAGAAATGAAGATAACTTGAAGCTTGAACCCTAGACTTGAATCCTTAGCTTAGATGATGGTTAATCCTTGAGAACATACCTTAGTTGCTTCCTAAAACGTAATAAATGAGAGGGGAGATGAAGAAATTGAAGGAGAAATAAGTTAGGTGAGAAAAAAGAACCCAAAATCGGGGTTACAAAGCCAAAAACTCGTTTAAATAATAGAAGATTCCGTGTGTTACAACCTATGGCACGAGTCACCGCTTCATGGTTTTATCGTACTGGAATTTTTTACATCTCTAAATGGATGGTTTGTTGGTTTATGGTTAGCATAAACATGGCAATAATAGGGCAAATATCATGGCCAAATGAGTGAAAGCTAAAATCAAGCCTTAAATCTCTAGCTCAAAGACTCTTTAATCCTTAAGAAGAGATTTATTTAGAGAAGTAGAACTCAAGAACCGAATGAGATAGATAAGTGAGTAGGTGTAGCAAAAGTGAAGAGAAAAGGGGTAAAATCCCGCTTTAAAAAACCAACAGCGCCTCTCAGCTTAAATTTTCTGCCAACCTCCCCGAGCATGAAGAAATCTTCAGGCCTGAAGTTTCTCCCCAGGTGTGAAACTTCTCCAAAAAATTAATTACTTTGATTTTCACCAAAAACATTATACCAACTCAAAATACATACCAAAATTTATTTCTAGGCTGAATTATGAATATGGAACTCGAAAATAAACATACCAAAAATTCGGGTGTTATGTTTTGACAACCGTATACATCTCCAACCCAGTTCCAAAAGATGAATGTCCAAACATACAAGTACCCACATTATCAGAATAAGGAAGTTGGTTCATGTAATGCTTATCCAATCAAGCTAGATCTTAGTTTCTTCTCCATATTTGTTGGTTAAAACTTGGCACATATCATATCTTTTTGCAGAGTATCGAGCACTAAACGAGATCACAGTTCGTGATCATTTTCCAATCCTGATGGTGGATGAATTGTTAGATGAATTAGGTATAACACTTTACTTCACCAAGTTGGTTCTACGAGTAAGGTACCACCAAATTTGGATGCACAATAAGCTGTTTATGAGATAACGCTCCAAACACATTGAATGTCACTATGAATTCCTGATCATGACTTTTGTCCTAACGATTCCTCTGTCAACCTTCCAGACAATAATAAACTGACTTTTGCCTCATATCTCCCAAGTATTTAATCGTCTTATTTGATGGTATCTTGGTTTACAACCTGACATTTGAGATGCATGTCCACCACCTACATCATCGAGACATTGAAAAGCCAACTTTCTTACATCGAGCTTAATCAATGTCTTTATTGGACGTTTTCAATAGACTATCTAGGCCATATCATTGGCTAAGGAGGCGTACATGCAGATCTAGAAAAGCTCACATCCATGAAATAGTTGCTAACACCAAGGAGCACAAAACAATTGCTAGGTCTCCTAGGCGTCACTGGGTACTATTGACTGTTCCTTCTTCATTACACAAGCATTGTGACACCATTAGTAAAGCTATTAAGGAAAGATGCTTTCACATGGACGAGCGAAACAAGTGACATGTTGCATGCACTTAATGGCAATGACCTTGGCTTCGGTATTGAAACTTCTAGATTTTTCAGAATAATTTGTAAAAGAATCCGATGCCTCATCGGTTGGAACCAGTGTAGTACTCATATAATAAGGACGTCCATTCACTTTCTTCAACAAAAAGTTAGGCCTTAAAATGCTAGCAACATCCATGTACGTCAAGGAACTTTATGCTATTGTAGAGCCGGTTAACAAAGGGCGACAATATTTGTTGGGTAAAACTTTTATTATTCGTACTTTATTTGTTAGTATAAGACAACTTCATCAATACTTTTATAGTTTTTCTGTTCTTTTTTATTATTATTTTAATAAAAAAATAATTGATTAATTTTTATATAGTTAAAAAGTGTTTAATTTTGTTCAGATTTCTAAAAATATACGACATTTTTGTTTTCATCGGTAATTTTATTAAAAACATTGTATATTATATTTTACAAATTATATCATGAAACCAATTATATAAGAAAAGCTGAGTATATCATGAGCTTGTCGAGTCGAGTTCGAGCAGAGCCTATTCGATTCGAGCATTGACTGAGTCGATCTCGAGTAATTATTGAGTTGTTTCATATCAGTTACACCTCCTACCCATGTCGTATAAAAAACTGTAACGCTTTACCGGTTCATTATTGTTTTTTTGGTCTTAGGGGCTGTTTGATAGTTGTTGAATGGTTTGATGCAAAATGATTAAGTGGTCAGAATGATTAAAAGGTTCATGATATAGTGCAAAATGAAATATAATTATTTGTTAATTATTTACAACGAAATTAGAGCGCTGAATGGTTAAGAGAGACCCAATATACAAAATCATTAAAAGACATTATTTTTTCGCCAAACAAGATTCAGCTAATTCAGAAACTGTCTCTTAATGAAACTATTAAAAGTTAAACAGATAACCCCTTAATCTCAAAATTCAAAAAACGTGAAGGATTATAAAAGAACTTTCTACAAGTATAGGGGTTGCCATGAGCAGAAGTAAACTTTAATTAAATTATAAAAATATAGGATAAATTAGATGGAAGAGAGGCTAACGTTCACATAAGATAGAAGAATGATGTTAGCACCGGCGCCACCTCCACCGGCGCTACTTCCACCGGCGCTTTATTCCTCTGCGCGCCAACATTTACGGTGGACAGCAGTAAATTTTGTACGGTCAACAAACCTTCTTCGTCCACGAACCGCCGTTGCTGCAATAGGCCGTGACGTGGACACCTTCACGGAGTCATCTGGCTATCTCTTTGAACTTAGCACGTCAGAGGCTGAATCCTTAACGGATTACAATATATCCAAAATTGCTTCCATTTATCGGAAAAAGCCGTTCATAGTTCTTCGCAGACTTCTTCAAATCGTCAACACACTCGGCAAATGGCTCGCACTCAGATACCTTGATGGCATTACGGAGCGTTCTAACCTGATGTTTGAGGTCAGAGCGTTCAGTCCACATGTTCATCCGTACTATTCATGAATAAATTATAACATTGATGCACATCATAAGGATTTCTTTTTAGGTTTGTTGTAGTAATGCGAGTGAATTTCACAACTTCCATCTGTTTAAATTGAATTCAGGTTAGAGCTTCGCAGTTGCGTCAGATACTGGTAAAGCTTGGACCGGTATGTTTGACTAACAATCCAGATTCTTTATTCCATGAGTTTGTTATTACCGTTGATTGTTTTTTGAACTTCCTATGTTTGAATGTTCTATACAATTTAGTAAATCTTGATTTCTGACCCACCATTGGAAATAGGGACCGCTGTTTCAGTTTGATGTTTTATACAACCTTTTGTGTACCGTCCATCTGTGACTTGCACGCATAGATATAAAATTGTGCTTTGTCTGCTATAGCAAAATGTTACCATGTGCAATGCTTATGATCCACTTTGACTGACCAACAATTGTTCCATTAGTAATTATCATAGATGGCAAGGATTAAAAGATCTAAGAAGATGATAACTTCAAAACCTGTAAATTTAATGGTGTGAACTATACCAAACTATGTTCTTTGATAAATACGTGATCAGTTCTATTGTACTGTTGTAATCATCTAAGAAGTTAATGTGTTTTTTTTTTATTAGTTGCAGTAGACTATACCTTCATACTTAGTGTTCTTACACAGATTCCTTCGGTACTGTAAAAAGACAATCCATTTATGGCGGATAATAAGCCACACCGTTGAATGTTTCTGACAGTTTTAATTCCAGATCTATTTTTTGTATTTTTATGCGTCCTGATTAATTGGTAACTTGCAAGCTATATGTACACAAATAAAAAAGTATCAACTAATCTTCTCTGTCTCTCACACATTTTCTTTCAGGCATATATAAAAATTGCTTAGGCTATCTCATCTCGACCTGTAAGCTTACTCTACTTTTTGTGCAATCCTTTTTACCTCCATTTCATGTTTCAGTTGTAAAATAATTACGTTATGTACATGGAAATTGGAGGAACAAAGGAGTTGAGTTAGTTACTAGGTCGGGTTAATTACTAGTAAACATTAAGAAGGCAGTACCAAAAGGCCATTCTAATTCCAGAGATTTGTGGTTGTCCTATTAAAAATCTAGTAGAAGAACCACCTTTTTTCTGTTCTTGAGTAGGAGCGGTTGGTTCATTTTGTGTGAAACTCTACATTGTGAACACTTCATGGTTCCTTTTATTCCATTCTATAGCAGATCAAGTAAACTGGCACCCATTTATTTTCAAGTTATCCAAAACTTGCTACATTTATTTTCTGTTCACATCAGCATCGTCACTAGTGCTCGTCTTCATTCTAGAAGCAAAATACATATGGTAGTAACTGAGAGATGGTTAATAGAATAAAAAAAATAGAAAGTAAATGTAAGTTTGGGACCACAAATGGGTCGGGCATAGAAAGTAAATGTTGGAGTCCACATCGGCTAAATATGGACCATCAAATTTGTATATATGTAGGAACCTCCCTCTCTTTATAAAGGCTCTTTTAGAGAGAGATTCAAAGGGGTTCCACATAGCTTCACATGGTATGAGAGTTGGGTCTACCACATCCATGGACTTGACATACTCTTCGCCTCCATTCTAGGGGACTCTGTCTAGCCTCCATTTGAGGGCGTGTGTTGGAGTCCCACATGCGCTAGACACGGACCAACAAACTTGTATATATGCAGGAACCTCCTCTATAAGGGCTCTTTTAGCGAGAGATTCAAAGGGGTTATCCTCACATAGTCTATATCTGATTTTCTATTCATGTTCTTCTGTAGGATCTGATACCCCCATCATATCTCAACGAGCTTTCTTTATTGCAAGACCGTATTTCACCATTTTCAACTGAAGTTGCATTTAGAACGATTGAGAAAGAACTTGGGGCACCATTAGATCAACTTTTCACTGAGATCTCACCAGAACCTATGGCTGCAGCATCCCTTGGCCAGGTCATTTGTTATTGGATGTCTCTAAATTATTTAATCAACTTTGCTTATCAATTTTTCTGTTATTATCTGACATTTAAAAGATTTCTTTGTTTTTATATTTCATGCAGGTCTACCAGGCTAGACTGCGTGATACAGGACAGATAGTTGCTGTCAAAGTGCAGCGACCTGGAGTCCAAGCTGCTATTTCCTTGGACATATTAATCCTGCATTATCTTGCGGGGCTGGTTCGAAGAGCAGGGAAGTTCAATACTGATCTGCAGGTAAGTTATCACAAAAGCATAGTTAGTTGATTGTTTATATAGTTGATTATTGAAGTCAGGATCAAAGAGTAGACAGATGGATATGCAAAGTAGTCTTCTCTTTATACATAGAAAACTCAGTTAAAAGATCAAAGGGTTTGTTTCTTGTTATTTTCTTTTTAAATAAATAAATAATAAAGTTTCTATGTGAAACTTCCAAGTCACTCCCTTTGGATCTGAAAAACAAATTTATCTATCTCTTTTTTCCTTCACAGGGTAGCCGTTTTAGTTGACTAAGTCTACGAGAATAAGTGTATATGCTTTCTTTTAATTAAATTTAGTTCTCACTGTGATCTTGATCTGCAGGCTGTTGTTGATGAATGGGCATCAAGCCTCTTTCGGGTATGGAAATTCTAAACATGCAAAGTTCATTCTGCTCCAAAGTCCAAACCAAAGGGAAAACATTATGTTATTCAATAAAGCACCCGATCAGTGGCGTTTGAGGGTTGCTAGTTGAAGATCTTTAACAATTCCATAACTTAATTTAGCCTCCTTCATTAGATACTCTCCTGTCTTCAGTTCCATTCCTAGTATGAATGCTTAATTTAACCAATTCTCATCTTTTTAGTGTCAGAAACTACAAATCTAGGTAGCATATCAGATTCCATCGAGTTTTGCTCCCCTTTGTCAAGGCTTGGGGACAATTGTAACTCAAGAAGCTACAATATTAGTTAAAGAAATGGATATGCTGTTTGGAAATATACAGGCTTAGTAAATCCAAAAATATGGAGACACAGGCAGAGTAGGATACATCATAATCACAGTTATTGCATATATAGTCCTATAATGTCAAATCAAACACATAGTTGCAAGTACAAGAAGGACCCCTAAGTTCTCTAGTCTAAAAAACTAGCAATATTATTGTTAGGGTCAGTTTCAACTTGACATCTTGGAAACTGCTACATCTGTACTATAAGTAAAATCTGTACTACAACTTTGTTGATGCTTTTTGAAGTATCAATATGGTAGCTTGCTACTTTCTTAAAAAATTCATCAAATTTTCTTTTCAAGCTTGCATTTCGCCATTCAAAACATGCTTTCCGCAAACACTAACGAGCCAATATATATTCTTATGGCACAAAAAGTGTATGCCATCCAAATTTTTTGATCATGCTTCCGTTTATATCCTGGGAAGGAAAGTGTTCCACTCATCATGATCGTGTTCTTTGGTTAGTCTTTCTGTTTCTGAACGTCCAGAAGAACCATTCTCATCAAGGCACACCCAGCTCTAATTTATTTTTTCCACATGGACTACATTTTGGGTGACTCCTGAATTTGATGGTGTGTCTTATTCCTCTTAAAACAGTCTCTATATAAATTCTTAGTACTATATATTGAATACAGGTAATCACATTGAATGCAGGAGATGGATTACATTAATGAAGCAAAAAATGGAGTTAGGTTCAGGTGAGAGATACTGCTTGGCCTTTTTGTTACATGTATTTTATTTGAAAAACAATTTATAACACCCACGAATAAGCTTATGCTTATTAAATACCTACATAAAATTATAAATATACAACCATGATTGTTAAGAGTTCCCCCTTAATTAATCATGAAGGGTTTTGCATGGGCTATAATACTTCCATCTATCATAGTATGGTACCAGAATTGGGCGAGGTGTCTCTGGGTTAGTCAGCTCTAGGCAGCCACCTGCTTCCATCTGTTGCTCTTTTGGTCCACACTTACTGCTTGACTTTGTTTAAGTCTTCTCAAAGAAAGTTCCCCTGTCCGGCCTTGTGGTCTAGATCTCGTAGGAGTATGCTCTCATACCTTGCAACGGGGGGAATATTTTGGGCTCACTTGGTTGAACCCTCCTCTGCTGCCTCTTCAGCGTTCTGCCACCCCTAATTTGCTGCCCTCTTTTGTCGCCACCTCACTGTCTGCTGAGTCTGACAGAATATGCTCCTGCTATATCTGGGACCTGTGGAGTCATAGTAATCTGCTATGGATACTGTCTGCTGTTGCCAGAACCTCATCATTTCCTGTTGCCATTAGTAGGTTCCATATCCATAGTCAAGAAGCCTCATCAGACCTTGTTGAACAACCCTCACCATGCTGAGAAATCTCTGATCTCCTTTGCTCTATGTGAACCAACTGCAGAACAATATACCACCGGTTATTTTCCTCTACACAGATGCATAAGGTTGTGCTCATTAACACTAGCAATCGCACAGTGAGGAAATTAATCATGACAAGCATGTTTCATCCCCCCCAAAGAAAAAGAAAGAAGAAAATTAGGAAGCATTATTCTTTTATGCATATTGATAATCTTTTTTAGTTTGTCCGTACATGGAAAGGACAGAGACATGGTTATCTCCCAGGGATCAACGAATGGTTATTGAAGAAAATTGGAATTAACTTGGCCATGTCTAAATGTAAAAGATCGATACATCTCTCTTGGCATGCTGTGCTATATATTATCCTCTTATCAATGGTCACACCGCCTATGATATGCTATTTGTGACCTTGTGAAAATGATATATCCATAATTTGTCCTTGTATGCACTCAAACAGAGAACTATATGGCAGTCTAAAGGATGTTTTGGTTCCAGATATGTATATAGAGAAAACAACTCGTAAGGTCCTTACCATGCAGTGGATGGAGGTATTCCTTTCTTTGCTTTTCATATTTTTTATGCACCCTCTTCTACTTTCTTCATTCATAGTTTCCGTGTCTATTATGTAATCATTATTATCATTCAATTCGAGAATGAGACTCAGTTCTGTAGAACATGAGATAGTCTGATAATTGACATGTAGGTTACATTATTTATTGATGCTTTAGGTTACCTGGTGTAGGAATCTCACCAAGAATATATCATAAATATTTATAGCTTGTCAATCTACCACCTGTCTCTTATATACTTAGGGTAAAAGTGATTTGATTTTCTGTTATTTCTATTATAGGGTCATAAAAGTTCATGTTTGTGAATATGGGGATGACCCGAGAAGCGATCTTTCCCTTTTAGAATCTCCTAGCTTCAAACAACCTTTGCCTACTTCCATTCATCTTCCCCCCCAGTCTTTATTAGTGTGCGTTGTGCTTGTTTACTTCCATGATCATGTTATTCTTCTGTTTTTTTATACTTTTCCTCAGTTACCAAATATGACACAGATTCTTAACAGATAGAAGAAAGACCAGTTGCTAGATATAAACTTCTCCTGATGCTGGAGGAAGAGTTACTTATAGATGTGACTCGAAGATACCATATTGCATGATGGGAATGCATTGCTTATGCTTGATGTTTGTTTATTAGTGCAAAGAGTCTAATTATTGCAATATGACTTCTGTTCGGCAACTCCTTTTTTGAGTAGTAAATTTCATGTTGATTTTTAAAACAGGTGCCCATTTGAGTCTTCAAGAGAAATGTGGATTTTTTTGGAAAGAAAGACAAATGTGGATCTGTCACCATGACCATTTCCATCTCATGTTTGAATTGTCCTTTCCCTAGTATTTTCATTTTTTTCATGCAAAAGTCTAACGGTATAAATAGATGTGAACAATGCAACTTTGCTTCATTTGGGAACTCTAAATATAAAGCGACTGTCAAGTTGTGTTCTTCTATAGATTTCTTTTCATATTATCTTAGTCATTTGTAATCACTGTCATCTTTTTGTTTCATGGCGTTTAGGGTCAGAAGTTATCTGAAGTGAAGGATCTTTATCTGGTCGAGGTCAAGTTGTTAAATTGAATTCTATTAATTTTTATTGAACTAATTAATCATATACCTACCTTTGCTACAACATAGCTGTAAGATACGTGTTTTTCTGGTTGGTGCAGATAGGAGTGTACTGCTCGTTTAATCAACTTCTAGAGTATGGCTTCTATCATGCAGATCCACACCCTGGAAACCTACTTCGTACATATGATGGAAAGCTAGCCTATTTAGGTACTCCATGATTGCTTGTGTTACAACATTGGTATAGAAGGTCAATAATTCTGTTATATTTTACATTCTTTTTTTGAAGTAATTATATTATATACAGCAAATACTCACACACACATTCCTCACCTTTGGTGAGGTTTGAACCCTTGAGGCCTTGACCTCCTGGGAGGCTGGGCAAACCTAGGTACCGCTGCGCCAATGATCCTTTGGTTATTTGTTATATTCTTTGCATTATTAATCATTTTTGTTCAAAGCCTCTTTTTGGTCAAAGCGGAACTTGCTGGCACGTTGAAAAGATATATTAATGAGAGTAGAACCGGCAGAAATCATAGTTCTTGATTTCTCCTCACTGTTTATTATATAATTTGAAATAGAACAAGTTGACCCCTTTTTTATTTATTTTCATTTGATCTACTCCTTACTCAAGTTTCCAGTGAAGACCAAGCAAAACTTCAAGAAAGCAGAAATATATATACAGAAGAAACTGAACTAACTCCCATGAAATTAGGAACAGCTAGACTACATCTAAATTATCTCCAACAACTAGATAAGCACAATAAAATAACCATCGAATGTACCAGCTGGCCAGATTAGGATTCAACACTCCCCCTCAAGCTGGGTTATGTATGTCAATCATACCTAGCTTGGATCATAACTCTTCAAAAACCGGTCTGGGCAGTGTCTTAGTAAGAATGTCTGAAGTTTGTTGCTTTGATGGTACGAACTCCAGCCAAAGCTCTCCTTCCTCTAACTTCTCTCTAATGAAGTGTCGGTCCAGCTCCACATGTTTGGTTCTTTCGTGATGTACAGGATTTTTTGCAATCTCAATTATAGTCACAGCGCATCTCCATTGGATCAAATGGAGTAAATCTTAACTCGGTTAGCATCCATTTCAACCAAATGCCTTCACAAATTCCATGACACATTGCTCTAAACTTTGCCTCTGTACTACTTCGGGAGACAACTTCTTGTTTTTTGCTTCTCCAGGTTACTAGGTTGCCCTATACATATGTGCAATATCCGGTGGTAGACCTTCTGTCCATCCGTGAACTGCCAATCTGCATCTGTGTATATTTGTAGTTGCCTATCGTTTGTTTTCCTGAAGAACAGTCCCTTCCCTGGACTTTGCTTTAAATATCACAGAATATGAAGCACTGCCTCAAAATGGTCTTCTGTAGGCTGATTCATGTACCGGCTTACCATTCCCACAGCAAAACTTATCTCTGGTCTCATATGGGCCAAGTATACAAGTTTTCCAACCAATCTTTGGTAGCTACCTTTATCAGTTGTCTTTCATCCCTACTTTGATGTTTTCCCAATGGATCCATTGGGGTTGTAGCCGGCTTACATCCCAACATTCCTGTTTCCTTCAATAGATCAATTGTATATTTTCTTTGAGTTAAGAAAATACCTTTGTGAGATCTTGCCACTTCCATGCCTAGGAAGTATATTAATCTTCTTAGGTCTTTTACTTCAAATTCTTGTGCAAGGATATCCTTAAGATGGTGTAATTCTTCAGCATAATCACCTGTTAAGATGATATCATCTACATAAACTATCATTATAGCTCTTGCTTCTCTTAAGGAATCCTTGAAGAACAAGGTGTGATCGGTTTGGCACTGAGTAAACCCAAGTTTCTTCACCACTTGTGTCATTCTTTCAAACCATGCCCTTGGTGATCGTTTTAGCCCATAAAGTGATCTTTTTAGTCTACATGCCTTACCAAATGAAGCCTTTGAGTCGATTCTCGGCGGCACATCCATGTACACCTCTTCTTCAAGTGCCCCATTAAGGAACGCATTTTTGATGTCGATCTGATGCAATGTCCAATCTAGGTTAGCTGCAAGTGAGAGTAAGACTCTAATCGATGAAGTTTGGCTACGGGTGCAAATGTTTCCCCGTAATCGACTCCATATGATTGGGTAAACCCCTTGGCCACCAACCTCGCTTTGAACCAATTTATGGTTCCATCCGCATCATACTTCACTGTGAACGCCCACTTGCACCCCATAGTTTTCTTACCAAGAGGCAATGTCGAATATTCCCATGTGTTGTTCTTTTCAAGTGCCTTTCGTTCCTCGTTGACAACAGACTTCCATTCGGGATGATTTAGAGCCTCTTGTATATTTTTGGAATCATTATGGAATCTAACGATGTTACAAGGGCACTATGAGTAGCCGACAGGCCTTTATGAGTCATAAAGTTGCTGCTGAGATGAGCTGTGCATGACCTTTTCCTTTCCTTAGAGCAATGGGTACATCCAGATCATCAGACTTATTCACGAGACTGTCATCCAAAGAATCTTCTCCAACAACATCATTATTAGTGTTATCACTTGCAGAGTGAGTAGAACTGATATCTCCCAGTATTTCAGCCTCAAATCTCGGATTAGTCTCCGGGCAGTGTGTGGTACCAACCTCTTCTCTCCTTTCACCTTTATGTCGTCTTGAGTATGCCGGGGTTTCTTTCTGGATTGCTGGATTAGGTGTTTCGGTAGGTTGTTGGGTGTTAGGAGAGAGGGATTATGAGAAATCGGGACAAGCTGAAGTTGGAAAACAGAGTCTGGATGTTCAGGAGTGTTTTGCGGCTGATTAGAGTGACTAGGAGGTAAAGTTTGTAACCAAATATGATATTCCTTGGGAATATTCTCCCCCCGAATCTTAGATTTGGTGAAAAATGGTTGGTTTTCAAAAAATGTGACATCCATCGAGTTATATACCTTCTTTGTGGAAGGCGAGTAACACTTTTATCCTTTTTGACAACTAGAGTAACCCAAAAAGGTACATTTAAGAGATTTTAGGATCGAGTTTGCTACGGTTTTGTGGTGGTACATGAAGGAAGGCTGTGCATCGGAATACTTTAAAAGGAACATTTGATAAGAAACGGATGTGAGGATAAGTGAGCATGAGTGTTTGGAGAGGTGTGTGATAGTTTAGTACTCTGGATGGCATGCGGTTTATCAGATATGCCGATAATAATATGGCATCTCCCCAGAATATAGGTGGGACATTGGCAGCAAGGATAAGTGAGCGGGCAACTTCTTGAGTATGTCTGTTTTTTTTCTCTCGGCAACTCCATTTTGTTGTGGAGTGCCAACGCACGAACTGAGGTGAGTGATCCCGTTATCTTTGAGACAGGATCCTAGGTTTGACTCAAAAAATTTCAGTTCCATTGTCTGTTTTCAAGACTTGGATCTTTGTGCGAAACTGGGTTTCTATCATCTTATGGATACTTGGAATATACTTCTAACTTCGGACTTGTCTTTCATGAGAAATATCCAAGTGACACGGGTGTGTTCATCAATGAACGTGACAAACCATCTAGTTCTAGACAAATTTTTTATTCTAGATTGTCCCCAAACATCACTATGAATTAAATAGAACGGGTGTGATGCTTTGTATGGTTGGGGTGGATAAGAGATGCGAGTGTGCTTTGATAGTTGACAAGCTTCACATTGAAAAGGAACTGAGTTTTTATTAATCAAACTGGGAAACAATTTCTTTGAGTACATAAAGCTAAGATGTCCTAATCTATGATGCCAAAAAAAAACATCTTTATTATGAAGACTGGTCTGGAAACACGAAGACGCTGAAGGCTTTAAGACAAACTCAGCTTTCAGAAGGAAGAGGTCTTCACGCACCTTAGCACTGCCGATCATCCTCCCTGAGTTCGAGTCCTGAAATTCACAAAGTAGAAGTCATCTTAGCAGTACAACTTAAGTCTTTCATTAGCTTGATCATAGACAATAAATTGTAAGAAAGATTGGGAACATAAAGAACAGAATTAAGATAATGTCCTTTGGAATTATAATGGAACCAATACCCTTTACTTCTGATAGGAGACCATCTGTTGTCCGGATTTTAACACCAGCACTGTTAGGTTGTAGATTTTTGAACATACTGACATTCCCAGTAATATGATCTATTGCCCTGGAGTCAACAATCCAATTTTCTGCACTTCCTCGAGCGTTTAATGCAGTGTGTGGATGGTCACTTTGGCAACCGCTGCCACACTCTTTCCTCCAATTACTGACTGGAAGGTCGCTTGTAGCATCTTTTTGAGAGCCTCAGATTGTTCCTTAGTGAATGAACTGTTTTCCGTGGCTACAACATGGGCAGAGGATCGAAATGACTGCCTCTCTGGGGGTTTTCCATGTAGTTTCCAACATATGTCCTTGGTGTGACCAGGGATCTTGCAGTGATCACACCAAGGACGGTTTCCAGATCGCTGTCCGTCCGTATTACCGCTGTAGTTTGTCCCTTGCCGCTGTCTGGTATTGTGGTCGCTCCGCCTTGCTACAAGGCTGAATTTTCAGAAGTTAGTTAGAGTGTTTAGAGGTTTCAACAATACCTTTTTACGAGTTTCTTCCCGTCTAACTTTCGAGAAGGCCTCTTTTACACTCGGTAATGGTTTCCAGCTTAGAATTCCCCCACGAACTTCATCAAGGTTATGATTTAACCCCAGTAAAAACTTGTAGACCCGATCTTTTTCTTGAATTTCCTTGTATTGCTTCTGGTCATGTGTACACCCCCACGCCAATTCCTCCAAAACATCCACTTGCTGCCAAAAACGAGTCAGTAAGTTGTAGTACTCTGTAGTAGTTCGTTCTTCCTGTCGTAGATCATGTAGAACACTTTTGATTTCAAAAATTGTCGAGGCATTGTCTTTGTTGGAGTAGGTATCACGGGCTGCTTCCCATATCTCCTTGGCAGTCTCGTAGTACATAAAGTTCTCATCAGTTTTATTGGTCATGGAACTCAGTAACCAAGACATTACCATGTTGTTTTCAGTTTTCCAAGTTCGATACTTGGGATTGTCTGTTTCTGGAACAGAAATGGCTCTGGTCAGGTAATCTTCCTTTCCCTTTCCGCTTATAAACATCATCACTGAGTGTGACCATTGATGGTAGTTGTGGCCGGCAAGTTTGTTTCCGGTAATCGGAATGTTCCCACCTTCGATTAGAGTGGGTGTTGTATTCGACATAGGTGTCTCTCGTGAACTCT